GTCAGAGTCGCGGTCGCTCCCATGCAAAGGGCCCCGGAAAGATATGAAAAATTCTCGGGCCGAGACACTTACTACTACTACTACTACTACTACTACTACTACTACTACTACTACTACTACTACTACTACTTTTTTTGCACTTTTGCACTTTTGCACTTTGCATCGCAGCAACGAGATCCGTAGCTATGCGTCCGGACGATCAGAATCTAAGTTCCGGCTGCTCACACCAGGTTGGTGATGGCAGCAATGCTCTTCGGCATTGTCAAAGCTATAAGAGCGACAGAGCCCCGTGCCGAAGCACCAAGCAGGCTCTGCAAGACAAACTGGATGCTCAGCAGGTGTCCTCAAAACACCGCAGCAATACGATAAATGGAAATTAAGAAATTCTTCTGAGACCTACGACATATCCACATGTGTCAACCTCATGGCGACGACTCTGCATCTCTTGAATGCCCCGATTATCATCCGTATCATGGAACACCAGGAGATTGCTGCCAGTGCGTGAAGGGCCACTCAGAGCAGCTCGGTAATGTCCCGTCGAAAGTCCCTGCCCAAGATGATAAACAACTCCAATGACTTGGTATTGAATCATTTGCACATTGCACGTGGAAGGGCCTTGGAAGCACGGCACTCTCACCAGCTCATCGGCCGGAATGACAACCTCTGTGAAATCTTTGATTGTGCCAGAGTCTCCCATACGAAATCGCTTAAGCTGTATGAAGAGCAATTCCGGCGACATAGTGCAAGCTTGCACTGAAGAGGACTGAAGTGCATGCCAGTGATAGATGCTATGCTGAAGGCTCCGGCCGTGCAGCTCGAGAGGGAGGGGCATGAAGCACGAACCTGAGTCCACAGTACGAGCCCCAACACCCTCAGGTGAAAGGCTGGCATCCTGACGGGATTCCCAGGCTCCATAATAGGCTGCCGGCTGAAATTTGCCGAGGATAAAACCAATGAATTCACAAACGTCATGCTGGATGTGTAGAGGGCTCCAGCCTGAAAGAAGCTGTTTCCAAGGTAACAAAGCTGGAAGCCAAACTGTGCCTTTGCGCGTGAGTCATATCCACTTCCCATCCAATAGATGAGGTGGCTGCTGGCATTGATATAGCAAAGATTAGAGCGATTGCCAAGCTTGATCCATCTTGATGGGCCTCATCCGCAAACCGATGATCTTGGCGCTGGCGTTGCCGCAAAGGGTGGTCAGCATTCCCCACGCCTGCGAAGCCATAACATCTCTCAGCCCGATTGAGAGCGGAAGGTGACCGTCTCTCCCTGGTAGGCCGCTGACGTTGGGGCCGACGATGGTCGCCTGCAGCTGGATGATCGTGCTCACGACCTGGCTCTGCAGCATCGGATCCAGGTCTGGGACCCGCTCAAGGGCCCCTTTCTCCTGATTCCATCTCATGTAGGGCCAGTGCAGTTCGGCCATGCCCTCCGGCTGGTAGGCCCTGGTAGGCGTAGCCCAGCTCCATGATCCTGCCTCGGCATTGTCCTGCTCCAGGGACCGAAGTCGGTTGAGTCAGATATGTAGGAGCCCCAAGAAGAGTGCCATTCGGCACGAGCATTGCACCTCGTTCCTCTCCTTCTGCTCCTTCCACACCACAGCGAGCTGGTAGAGCTTGGTCAGGACCGCCGCCTCCTGTGTCGTCATCGCGTGAGATATCATGATAAGCCGCCCAAGCAACCTCTTTCCATCTCTCTAGATGGCGAAAGGATCTCGGATCTTAGCGGCTATGAAATATCCAACCGGATAAATCAACAAGGACACGCGGACAATGCCAGGCTCCGTATTACTGCCAGAAATGGCACACCGCTCTACCAAGGCGTATTGACGGCACCCTGGGAGAACAGTCCACTGATATACTGGAGTCAAAATGTCACCAAGCACAAGGATGACCGATCAGGGTTTGCAAAAATGTGCGCCT